GCCGCCGCTCGCGGTCTGCGCTCTGCCTCTGCCGCTTCCGTCGCCGCCGCTGCCACCATGGACCTGTTCGGGGACCTGCCAGAGCCCGAGCGCTCGCCGCGCCCGGCTGCCGGTAAGCGCGCGGCCCGGCTTGCGCGAGGGAGGCCTGAGGCGATAGGCCTGCACGCCCGGCGCTGAGCCGCCGGTCAGGAGCTTCGCGCGGGTGCAGGAGCCGCCTCCGCCATGTTCAGTGCGTAGGAAGGAAAGGCCCCGCGGTCGGGCGGCGGGCCTCGAGGAGGAGGTGCTGGGCGCGGCCTTTTGTACGACTGCCCGACACGTGCCGCCCGCGGGGGGCGACTGGCTGCCGTCGGGGTGGCATGGTCCGACCACGCCCGGACACCCCGAACCCGGCAGCGAGCATCCGGTCCGCTTTTGGCGGGCTCCGGGGCCGGATTGCACCGCGCTAGGCGGGCGCTCGCGCTTCCGAGGCCCGGCCCCGCGGCGGGCGGGCTCGGAAACGCTGTCGCCCGTTGCACCACGCTGTGCCTGGCGCTGCAACTCGCACAGCTTCGTAGGCTTTGTCTCTGCGTTCGCTGTTGGTCGGACCTTCGTTTGGGCACTAGCTCGAGCCTTGTGGGTTTGAAGCCCCGGAGACAGCGCTGGCGCCCCCTGCGGCTGTGTTGATCCGGGGACGGCCGTTTTTGTTCGCCGGGATCCCTGCCAGGCCCATCTCCAACGTCAGGAGCCCCGCGCTGGGTCTGCGTCGGGCTTCGGGGGCCGAGCGTCCCTGGGCCGAGCCCGCTACCTCTCGTGGATCGCAGCCTCGCCGGGTGTCAGGGATCCACAAACGTGGGACTGTGGCACGAACACTGGAAACTTTGCAGACACACTCAGCGGGCCGGGCCCGCGTCCCAGCCACCGAATCCGGGTCCTGTGGGTGAGGGGCGTGGATCTGGGCTCACTGCTGTGGGAACGGGTCGTTGAGACTTTATGCGTCTCCACGTTGAACGGGTGGGTGTTTGTAAGTTACCCAGGTGAGTCCAGTTGTTGGGGGAAGCACGTTGTGGAAGCTACAGAAGTGACTCGCACCCAGCCGTTGCTTTCTGAGAGTGGGATTCTGCATCCAAGGGATTGTAATTAGAGGGACCAGCGTTGCCCTGGGCCTGGCTCCGGCACACGGCCACCCCGCAGGTGTCACTAGATCTGCGCCCCACGGGATTGGCGACGGTTCTGAAGCAGATGCCAGGCCTCTGGGTGGGTTGCAGCTGCTAACCTTTGGGTTAACCATTGGCACCACTCACTAGCAGTTGATGATGGAGAAGGGCAGCCTGCCCTGAGGAGTGGACCTGGTTGGCCCTGGGGGAGACGGTGGCATGAGGCGGGATTTGAGTTGGACGTCTGAGGACAGGTGGGCCTGATTGGGAGAGGCTGACAGGTGGGGAGCAGGGGTCCAGGTGAGGGCGCAAGTAGTCACAGGGTGACGCCAAGTCCTCCAGTTTCCTGAACAACACATACCAGTGTGGAGGAGCGGGCCTTGGGGCCTGGGACTCTAGGGGTCCTTCTGCCCTCCTCAGGGCCTGGACTTGTGAATTTCACGTGCACATCCGACTATTGTAGGAGTTCTCTTTTCCCCCCCAATGGCACCGTTACTCCTCCCCACTGACCATTCTGATGGGACAGATGCATCCAAGTAACTGGCCCTCGAGTCTGTGAACTGGGCCATTCATTTTTTTTAAAGATTTTTTTTTTTTTTTATTAGGATTTGGGTGAAGATTTACAGAGTAAATTCACTTTTCATACAGCACTTCACATATACCTTGTCTCATGTCATTGACCAAAATTTACAATGCAGCAGCTCCCCTCCCACTCCCTCCCCATAGCCACCTCCTCCCAGTGTCCATCCCTTCATACTCTTCGAGAGGCCCATTGTCTGCCAACCCTGTATATGATCCTGGATACACTCTCCATTTAGACATACATAATTGTTTAGCTTGTTCACCCATCTATCCGTCCCTATACCCATGTTTGCTTTCATTGACAACTCAGTATTGTATTTACAAAGGGGTTCATATTTGTTGTCTGCACTGCCCATGTAACCCTCTCCGTCTTTCTCATCCTCAATGCTGCCATATTAGTCACTCACATTTGGTACATTGCCCTTCTCTTCACCCAAATCAATATTTATCTCTATCTATCTAACAGCATTCCCTCCCCTTCCCTCCCACCCCTGGTAACCAACAAAGAAAATGTCCTCCAATATATAAACCTTTCCTTAACTTTCACAGTAACGGACTAATACGATATTTGTCCTTTTGTGACTGACTTATTTCGCTCAGCATAATGTCCTCCAAGTTCATCCACGTTATGCGGTGTTTTGCAGATTCTACATTATTCTTTAGCGTTGCATAGTATTCCATTGTGTGAATGTACCAAAGTTTGGTTATCCATTCCTCAGTTGTTGGACATCTAGGTTGTTTCCAAGTTTTGGCTATTGTAAATAGTGGTGCGATGAACATCGGCGTGCATATATCTGTTCTTGTTATGGCTCTCACTTCTTTAGGGTATATACCTAGTAATGGGATGGCTGGGTCAAATGGTATTTGTATTTCCAACTTTTGAAGGAATCGTCATACTGCTTTCCACAATGGTTGTACCATTTTACAGTCCCACCAGCAGTGTATGAGAGTCCCAATCTCTCCACAACCTCGCCAGCATTTGTTATTTTCTGTCTTGTTGAACTTTGCTACTAGTGCTGGAGCAAGATGGTATCTCATTGTTGTTTTGATTTGCATCTCTCTAATAGCTAATGATCGTGAGCATTTCTTCATATGTTTTCTTGGGCCATTCGTTTTAAAGACAGCCTGAGTTCTAGTTCTAGTGGGTGAAACCTGGCTTTTCGTGTGCAGTTCTTCTTGCTAGTATATTAATGAACTGTGACTTCTGCGGGGGTGTGTTTGGAATGGGAGCCCTGGAATAGGAGTGCAGCGATTAAGCGCTCTGAAAGGTTAGCGTCTTGAACCCACCAGCCACTCCGTAGGACAAAGAGGTGGCAGTCTGCTTTGGTAAAGACCCTTGGAAGCCCTGTGGGGCAGTTCTGCTCTGTGCTGTTGGTCACTGAGAGGCGGACTCGACTCTATGGCAGGGAATGGATATGTGTGGAATAGAGTCTGAATTCAGAAATACATCTGCCAACCTGCTGTTAACTTGTCTTGTTCTTGCCCTGAATTCAGGTGGGCCTGCTCAGGGCGGTTGCTGCTGACTTGGCTCCAGTTCACGGTGGCCTGTGTGTGCAGTGGAGCGAGCACCATAGAGTTTCCGGTGCTTTTCAGGGAGTGAATCACTTGGCCTTTCCTCTGAGGCGCGTCTGGGTGGTCTCGAACCTCCAGCCTTCTAGTGAGCGCACCGTGTCAACTATTGACACTCCTCAGGCACTCCTGAGTTGATACAGAACCTGGCAGTTCTAAGTCTCACAAGTTAGCCTGTAGCCAGATACAGTGGAGACAGCACATCCAGCCGCTGTCTCAAGCCTCAGGCTTCCAGCCACACCAGAGGTTGCATGTTGTGAGGCAACTGGCAGTCACTCTGCTTTCAGCAGCTTTGAAACAAAGAAAGTGTGCTTTCTGGATTCGGAGCTGACAGAATTGGGATCCAAAGTTATCCTAGCAGGCAGTTAGTTAAAACCAACAAGATGAAACTTTTTATGTTTTTTTTTTTTTTTTTTTTTTAAATCATTTGAACAAGAACAGAATCTGCTGTCTGTTCTTGAGAAAGTACTAGGCGTTTACTTGTTTATACTCCCTGCTTCCTTTCAGAAAGTCAGTCACAGCAACTGATAAGAGTGGTCAAACTCAAGACAGGATAAACAAAAGGTGGTGACAGGAAATGGGTGGAAGGATGAGGCTAAGTGACACTGCCCACATGGCCCTCCCATTTGATAGGCATGTGCCCTGAATTTCCAAAGTAATGGGGATACGGTGAAAAACCAGTCATGTCCATAGGCCCCAAAAAGAATTGTTCAGGAAACACAGTCAGGCTGTTGGTTTCAAACCCCAACTTTGTGTCTTGTGTTCCTGCATGTACACGAGCGGTGAAGCCTCCCCCGTTCCTGTGAGGGTGATAGCACATGCTCCAGGTGTCAGGCGTCCCGTGTGGTGTGGCATGCGTAGGCATCGCCACCCTGGGAACTGGTGGCCACTAGCATGTGCCCTGTTAACTGGGATACTATTAAAGAGGACAGAGGATGTAGCCCCTGGATCTTGGGAAAACTGTCCACAGGGAGGAAGTGCAGCCCCGCGCTGACCATGTCAAGTGTATTCTGTTTAGTTCTTCGTTTTTGTTTTGTTTTTAAATCACATGTAACGTTCCTAGTTGCTTCAGCAGTAAGTCGATTTGTGTGTTACAGGGTGGTTCTTTTAGGTTGCTGTCATGTGCACAAGGAGCTCTGGTGGTGCATTGGTTAAGTGCTCGGCTGCTAAAAAAAGCAGGCAGTTCCAATCCACCAGCCACCCTCAGGAAGAAGAGACCTGGCAGTCTGTTTCCTAAAGATTGCAACCTTGGAAACCCTGTGGGGCAGTTCTATCATGTCCTGTAGGGTCCCTACGCATAGGGATTGACTTGACGGCAGTGGGTTTGCATTGTTGATTGTAAATACGCTTTAAAGCGGATTGTCAGCTGTCACTGGCCAAATATTTGCTTGGTCAAGCCATCCTAAAGATAGTACTTCAGAAATGTTTTAGATTGAGATGTGAGTTCAAGGTTAAGATAGTAGGAAAAAACTTAGAACAATGGTAGAACTTCAAGGGTAAGCAAGAAAAAACTTGTTTAAAAAATTAAATGGATGTGACCATGAAAAATAACAGATTTTTGGAGGACAAGCTATCACAAGGCAGAAGATACACTGTGAGATATACCTGCAATACACATGACTCAGCGTTAATGTCCCTAGAGGCAAAAGACTCATACACCTTAATAAGAAGAGGCCAGAGAGCCCACAGCTGCGGTCAGAGGAAAAACACGGCCCCTGGTCAGGACTGAGCTCAGCTTCCAGAGTCACCAAGGGACAAAAGCCCACATCACTGAGAGAGCCTCTTTCTCTCGCTCTGTCAGCTTAGCAGCCACTGGTGCTAGGTGAGG